ATCCAGCATATTTTACCAATACCTAAAAAAGTTTTTCACAAAGTTTATTTTTATTTATAATATATTAAACCAAATTTTATGTTATATATATTTAACCATATATTATGCTATGTTATATATTAAACCATATATTATGTTAAACGAAAAAATTCTGTAGTTGATAAAAGATTAAAAAAGACGAATGTCCGAACGAAACCGATTTAGACCGAATTCAACAATAGTTGAGGGAAAATGATGGACAAAAAGGAAAAAAACAAATTAGTTTAAATTTTCTGTAATGTAATATAGAAAATCTGAATATTAAAAAATTAAAAGTACAAAATCAAAAATGCTTAGAAATATTTTTTAAAATGATATTGTACTAAAATGGCAGAATTTCGTTTATTTACACAAAAAGCATTGGTGTTGTATGCATTCATTATTTTACTTGTAGATCTTTTATCAATATTTATAATATATAATAAAAAATGTAATTTTTTTTTAGATTTCGTTAAAATATGCTGAATGATAACACACACAGTATCGAAACGTACGATTAATTATTTTTTGTTTTCGACAATTTGGCTGCAAATTAATAAATCAAGAATAAACAAAAAAATCGAACGTCGTCCATGTCAAACGAAAAATCTAAAGTATATATATATATATATATATATATATATATTACATTTATATAATAATAAAAAATAAAAACATTTACCCGTTTGTTTACTAACAAAAAACACAATCTACAGATAAAAAATGAAGTATATATGAAGTCAGAAAATCTTCCAAGTGTACCTTCAAAATATTCTTTATCTTTATTTGTTGATATATATATATATATATATATATATATATATATATAAATGTACATATTTTTCTTTCGTTCGACAATCTATATAATAAGTCACTACATATGTATATATGTATAATAAAATTGTGACTAATTTACTTAAAAAGTGTAATATATAAATGAGTTCTGATTACATAAAATAATTTTTAATATACTAAACTTTTAAGTTAAATATAAATAAAATCACTACAAAATACATTCTCAGCTTAGCTCTAGTTAAGTAAAAAAAAATTACAGATAAAAATTATCTATCGGAATGATAAATCACACTACGGGGAAAAACTCAAATGCCAATTGCATTACATACACATGCATAGGAAAAAATGTATGTATATATATATATATATATATATATATATATTAGGGTGGTCCTTAATATGGACATTTTCGAATTTTATTGCTCCCAAGGGCTTAAATAGTTCCAAATTGATAAAAAACAATTTTCTGAAAGTTTTAGCTCCTATATAGTGTATTGTAGATAGTGCGCAATTCAATCAAATTTTGTATGGAAATAGCATGAGAAAAATTTTCAAAAATTGAAAATGTTTTTTAGATATAACTTAATAGTAATGCAATTGGCCTTAATCAAACAAAACATGCATAAAATTAATATATAACTAAATATTTTATACAAGGAACTGTATCAGTTATCAAATACAATTTTCATCGTTGTCTGATAAAATTCCCATATATAACAATTCTCTATCGCTCTCTTCAAACATTCACTCACCTCCTCGGGGTAGAAAACCTGTCATTAAATTGCAAATCGTTGTTTCGAAACCAGTCTGCAACATTGACTTCTCGTGTCGTGTACATGACAACGAAGGGATGCTTTAGCAGCTCATCGTACTTGGGCCTTTGCTGATAGTTTTTTGTCAAGCGGAAATAAAATAGTAATCAGTGTCAGAACAATATATATATATATATATATATATATATATATATATATATTAAAACAAAAACAAATATGTATTACTATTACAATTATAATTACTTACCAGCGATTCACAAAATTTTGAAATTCAGCAGAAAACTCCGCCGTGTGCGGACAACGTAGGCGGATCCTCTTCCAGGACTTTGGTGAGGACTTCAAAATCGTTATTACATCCCATATAAGGAAACTGTCCTGTGGCTAATTCGACTAGAGTAATACCCAATGACCAGACGTCGGCTCGAATATCATAATCTGCTAGGCTCAGATCTATTCGTTCTGGCTGAAAGTATATAATAAATAATAGTAATATAATATATAATATAATATATAATATAATATATAAAAACAAATAATAGTTCAAGTAGTATTTCTTAATAATATGTATGTTACTATTTATCTACTTACAGCCATATATGCGCACAACCCGCAGACCTGGTTTCGCTTTTGAATCCACCAATCTTCCACTAATACCAAAATCACATAGTTTTATTCGGCCCGTTCGTCCAGCAAGATATTCGAAGGCTTCACATCTCTATGAAAACACCGTGTTGTTCTTGAGATATGACAAAGCATTAACAGTCTAAAACAATAAATACATAAATGGTAAAAAAAATATATATCCACATACGATTGTTTATTTCTCTGTCTCTTACCGCAACAGTGACTTTTCCAAGAATATCTTCAGGTATCGGCCTGTTGAGTCTTTTTAATAGTTTATCAAAACAAGTTGCCATCAGTTCCATGCAAATCCAAACATCGGCATCGGTTATAAAACAGCCTAAGCATTGTACAATGTAAGGGCAATCATGGGATTTTAAAACCACTTCGAGGTCCATGATTATGCGCTTGTTTTCATCGGTGTTGCCTGACCGTCTCATTTGCTGGAATAGAAATAAAAAACTAGTAGTGTATGGCATTGTGCCTTAAGGCAAATTGCTGGAACTTTGCAAAAACTTGAAATTTTGATATTTTTTATATATATTTTTATTACCTTGACAGCGATGACTTCACCACTAGGTTTGTGCAACTTTTAAACGACATGCCCACAAGATCCATTACCCATTTCGCCGAGATCTTCTAAATCGTTTTGCGTAGCAAAATATTGATTCCATTTATTTTCAATTTTCCTTGCATCTTATAAATTTCCTTTAATTTGTTCTCAGTCTCCGTAGGATCTTGCTTTGGTAATGAGCTCGGGAATGGTAGATTCAAATTTTTTCTCTGTCTGACCGGTGTGCCATCTGATTTGAATTCTCCGACTAAAATAGAAAGATGGTAATAAAACATAGATGTAATGAAATAGTTGTGTTAAATATTGAATTCTGCTTAAGATTCGTAGTAAATGAATAATATATATATATATATATATTATATATATAATATATATATATACGTATATATTGTGCATGATTTGTTTTAGTTTTATAATACATTTGATAAACAAATATATAGTTTTTATTATACTTACGAGGTGGTATAGGTTTCTTAAAACCATTCCCCTTAGGCATCGAAAACCTTCCATGGGTACTATCCCGTCTCTCATTTTCCAATTTCAGCTTATTCTCCAAGCCGTCAATTTTGCTTTCTATTGACGATCGAGACATTTTTCCATTAATTTTCGCATTGGTTTATTTCGAGAGCAATCCCAACAATCGCCACTGAAATAGAAACACTTTCTAGCAGACACATAAGTTTACGACGGACGTCCGAATTGAAAGTTTTGTAGAACGATTGCACATTAACATTTGTTGGAACGATTTTGTGTTTTTGTTTAAAAGGTTTTTATTAAATTCGACGCGAATCGAATGGAATAAATAACATTTTATCAACTTGAGTTGTGCATGACAAATTTGACAGATTGAGAGGAGATGTCAGAAATAGGTTTGCCAGATGGGGGAAGAAATATTAAACACTTTTCACTGAGGGTTTTAATAATAAATCAACAAATAACAAGCATTATTTTTATAATTTCATTTGCATACTTGCACACACAATACTTCTATTATAATTATTAACAATTTATAAATATAATCAAATTAAATATATATTAAAATAGAGTTTCATACAATACATCCGATGTACTTTCCGTACCTTTCCCCCATTTACAAGTGTCATTTCAACCATAACCTCTTAAATAATTAATTTAAATTTAATCATAATTAAATAAATTAATGTTTAAAATCAATAAATAAAATGGAATTGCTTCTAGATCCTAATATACGAGGATGGGTGTTTTTACCAATCGTAGTAATAACATTTTTAGTTGGAATTGTTAGACATTATATAGCAATGTTATTATCATCACAGAAAAAAGTTGAATTGCAACAATTGCAAGACAGGTACAAATATTTATTATCAACCAGTACTAAAAGACACTTACACCTATGTAAATTATATATCAAAATTGTTTTTAACATTTTAAATTATATTAGTACCATCATAGGTTTTCATAAATTATATTATTTCTATTCTAGTCAAGTGATGATAAGAGCGAGATACCTCAGAGAGAATGGCAACTATTTACACCCCCAATCATTCCTGATGCGAAGGCATTTCTTCAACAACGAGGAAACCGGTTATTTCAAAACCCAGAAACGACCTGCCACAAATAACAACCCCATGACCGACCCAAGCGTTATGACAGACATGTTAAAAGGAAATATTACTAATGTCTTGCCTATGATTGTTATTGGTGGCTGGATTAATTGGATGTTCTCAGGATTTGTGACAAGTATGGAAAAAAAATTATATATTAGTAAGAAAAATTGTGTTAATGTTTTATTATTGTTTTTAGCAAAAGTGCCATTTCCGTTGACGTTGAGGTTTAAACCGATGTTACAAAGAGGTGTGGAATTAGCTTCATTGGATGCTAGTTGGGTATCGTCTGCTAGTTGGTATTTTTTGAATGTTTTTGGTCTGCGAAGTATTTACACTTTAGTTTTAGGGGAAAATAATGGTAATTACAACATTTAATATATATATATATATATATATATATATATATATTTAAATGTATCATCTTATCTATTTGTATTTTTTTCAGCCTCTGATCAAACTCGAATAATGCAAGAACAAATGTCCGGAGCAGCCATGGCAATGCCACCAGATCCAAAAAGTGCATTCAAAGCCGAATGGGAAGCTTTGCAAATAATCGAACATAATTGGAATTTAGCAAATGCAGATCAGCAACTTTTAAACAAAGCAAACAATAGCAGTTCATAAATGCTTTAGTTGTAATATTTATTTTAATTTTGTTGAAATAGGTGAATTTTGTTTATTATTAGGTGAATTATTTACATTTATTATGTTAATTTAAGTGTATGGTAATAATATATTAATCATAAAAATACAAACATCAAGTTGTTTTATTAACTCTTTACGTTTCAAGAGTTTCTGAACATTTTGGCAAACTTTAGAAAAAATTGATGTGTGTGTGTGCATATGTGTGGATACAAATTTGTGTTGGCAATTAGTTTTTGGGAAAGACAATTTTTGTTTCGAAATAATCATGATATTAATTTTAATTCTAGATAAATCATACAAATGCAATTTTGGGTTAAAAATTCAAAAAATTACCCTCTAAGTCTAAGCGCCACTCTGGTACAATTGTTTACCCAAGTGTGTTTAGACTGTCTATTTGTGAAAACTATTAAAAAATGTGAAAATGCCGCCAAGCTAAGCACAGTATAAGTGAAAATGTCGAACAGAATTATTTGCAAATGCGTTTAGAGTGTGACTAGACGAGAGCACTTTTTCAATTTTGTGTACATTAAAGGCAACTATTTTTCTTTTGAAATTGAATTCGAAATGAAATGACGATCGTTAATGTTCTGGAGAAAAATTGCCATTTATGATTTACGGATGATTTACATTTGATTGCTCAGATATAACAAGATAGCAAAAAAAATGAAATTTGCAGTATTTGTAATAATATATTTGAAAACGTTTGAAATTTCTCGAATATTTCATTACGGTACGGGAAGTTCCAGCAATTGCCTGAAGGCACGATGCCATCGTGCCATCTCGTTACTATTTCAAATTAATAAATCCGTTAAAACTATATATTGCTCACTTCACTTACGTTACGGTAAATAGTATTACCCAATCCCGTTCTAATCTGTCAACATGTTTCAAATTTTGAGGTTATGTTAAATTTATTCCTCAACTCAACGCAATTTAATTAATTCAAATTACCATTATTAATATAAATTAAATAAAAAATGAATAACATGATACGTCGAATTCTACCTTCCTATAAACATGTGATAGTTCGCGGAAAACAAACAGCAGTACAAGAATTAAATAATTTCCAAGATTATGAAGAGGACGATGAAATCGATAGAGAGAGGATTATTGAAGAAAAAAGGAATAAATCCAGATTGCTTCCTCAGCACAGGAACATGGTGCTGGGAAAGGTTCCGTACCAAGAACCACAGTCGTGGATACATGAAACTGTTAAATATAAACGAATGATGTATGGGAGGTACGGAAGCAGTAGTAATGTTAATCCAGGTAAAGGATAAAAGTTATAGTAATAATAATAATAATAATTGATTGAAGTACCTGAATTCCTTTGTATTCTGCTTGTATGATGTTTTCGCAAGATAAATCTTCAATCGGTCTTTATGCAGTCTCAAGTCTGTGAACAACAAAATGTACACTACAGCATTATAAATATAAGTAAGAAATAAATAAAGTAACTACTTACTTTTATAGAATGTTTCTATGTTTTGTGCAAAATATTTTCATAAAAGACATTCCAGCCAAGTTTGCTCCTTTAAGTCTGCAAATAATAATACAATTAATTCAATATCATTATATATATATATATATATATATATTATTATTTATTTATTTATTATCTTTTACCCAGCTCTATGTTGGCCCGACAAAGTAGATCTAGAAGATACCCTCGAATATGAAAGAGTAAAATACCCCGAAACAATCCCTGAAATGATGAAGAAGGTTGCCGAAGAGAAAAAACAAAAAGCAGAAGCCATGAGAGCACGTGATGAAGAAATCGCAAAGAAACTCTTAAAATTACAAGATTGGAAACACCAACTTAAGCAGAAAATGGCTAAAGCTGAAGCGGAAGCCAGAGAAGCAAAGGTACAGGAATAATTTAATTTTATTTACTTAATTAATTTTTTATTTCAATTGTTTTCTTTCCAGGAGCGTAAAGATAGGTTAGTAGAAGAGGTAAGAAGGCACTTTGGATTCAAATTAGATCCTCGTGATGAGAAGTTCCAAGAAATGTTGGCGCAGAAAGAAAAGGCTGATAGGAAGCAGCAAAAGGAGCTGAGGAGACAAGCACGTGAAGCTAAAATTGCAGCAAATTTGATAAACCAACAGAATGCCTTTAAAGAAAATGAGGAGGAAGAAAAATAATTTATATTTTTGTTAAATTAATGTAGCTATGTAATTGTTTAAATAATAGAACTTATACTAAAAAACATGTTATTTTTTATGTAGTATTAAATACTGAAGTCACTCTGTAAAATCTGATTTAAACTAGTGGTGCATGGCATCGTGCCTTAAGGCAAATTGCTGGAACTTCCCGTACCGTAATGAGAAATTTGAAGAATATTAAATGGTTTCAAATATATTATAATAAATGACGTTTCTATATGTTTAAAATAAAAATCGATAAAGTGGAGTTAGAACTAGCTGTAAGTGGAATTCTGTCTTAAGGCAATTAGGGCATCTTGCCTTAAGGCAAATTGCTGGAACTTCCCGTACCGCAATTCAAAATTCGAGTAATTAAAAATAATAATATTAATCAATAAAAGTTGATCAATGATTTGAAACTTTTAATAGAATTTCGAACCATATCAAATCATTTTCTATCTTAAATCATTTATTTTGAAATATTTTGGAAATTCTGAACTTTTTTTCAAAGCAATCATACTGCTTTATCTGTATAAAGACGAAATATCGAAGCGCGTAAGCGCCGCGTCGCCGTCTAACGCGTAAACATTGGTACGGAACCCATAGGAATGTAAACAAAATTTATACTTATTGTTAAAATCTCTATGATCATTTTTGACCGCCAAATTGCTCTTTTTTTTACTTTTTCCTCCATACCTCCAAAGTCGTTGGACCTGCCTTTCCAAAAATTTGAACAGTTCTTCATTTAGTCAATACAAGTAAATTTTTTTTTGAATTATTCAAATCGGACGCTCCGTTCTTTTAAAAACTGAATTACCGTTTTTGGAACTTTCTGCCCCGTATCTTCGGAACGGCTAGACCTGCCTTCGCCAAAAACTAATCAGCACGCTTCCTCACCAATACGAATCGAATGTTTTTTGAATTATTCAAATCGGTTGATTCGTGTTCCCGAAATCGTCGACGAAAATTTGTATCCGAACATACATACATACACGCACACACACATACACACACACACATACACACACACACGTACATCCATTTTTTCTAAGGTATGCCAAAATGTTTAGAAACCTTTGAAACGTAAAGATATATAAAAATTTTCATTTTCGATTTTTTTGCGATTACTATAACTTGCCCTACGGGAAGTTAATTAGAGGAGCTTATCTCATATTTTCACATAAACATATCATATAAACTGAATTGTTAAGTTAAAATTATTTAATTAAAGTATAATAATGAGCTTTAGAATTGTATCTATCTAGAATTAAAATCATTTTCGCTATTCCAAAAAAAAATGTTTGGAAAAAAAATTGCCTATTCAAAAGCAATCGTTTCGTCAACACAGGCAGTTTTTTAAATAATTCAAATTGGATGCTTAGTTCTCTCAAAAACTGCCATTTTTTGCACAATAGGCTGCGTATCTCCGAAACGGCTAGACCTGCCTTAGACAAAAACTAATTTCCACTTCTCTCCATCATAACAAATTTAACGTTTTTTGAATTATTCAAATCAGATGCTCCGTTTTCTCAAAAACTTGATTTCTATTTTCCGCACTCTTTGCTTGTATCTCCGAAACGGCTGGACCTGCATTTGCCAAAAAATAATCAGCACATCTCCCCATAATAGGAATCAATTGTTTTTTGAATCATTCAAATCGGTTAAGCGGTGCTCCAGAAATTGTCGGCAAAAACTGTATCCACACACACACACACACACACACGCGCATACATCATTTTCTTTAGGTATGCGAAAATGTTCAGAAACCTGTGAAACAAAGATATATAAAAAACTTCATTTCCAATTTTTTGCGATTACTTAAACTTACCCTACGGGATGTTAATAACTAGTTCATTCATCCTTAAAATATTATAAATTATATTACACAGTATTATGATACAAATATTTCCAAAATCATAATTCAAAGATGTTTTCCAAAACAATTTCTATCAAACTTTATCTTGTCCTTTAATTTTAAGCAAACACTTTTGGTGGTGCCGGATCTTCAAAATCTCCTAATTCTTCTACATTGTAAGCGTAAGCCCTAAATCCTCTCAATTCCCATGGCGCTTGGTGCTCGATTAAAGTCAATTTGACATCCAAGTCTTCTAACGTGGGTACACCAGGTATAACCTGGTCTGTTACACATTCCTGAAGAAAATATTTAAATAAATAAATAAATAAATAAATATATATATATATATATATATATACAGGGCCGGTCCTGGGGTCCTTAGCGCCCGCATGCAACTTTTTTTCCAGCGCCCCCCCTCTATTAATTTTCACCGTTTTAACAGTTTATCATTAAAATTATATAAATATTTACATATTTTTTAAAAATTAATTTTTAATTATTCTGGATTCAGTACACAAAAAATTAGATATAATCTAGAAGGGTATAAAATATATTAATTTTAAATTTATATATCATTATCGATATCAATAAATAAAACAATCCCTGTCATAATTTCACAGGGAAACACACACACACTTTTTAGTATTTTTGTTAGATTAAATTTGTTTTAATATTTTTGTTTTAATATTTTTGTTAGATTAATATTATAGAATTTAAGGAATGCATTTCAGAAATAGTATTTATTATTTTTATATAAAGATCTTGATATCAAAATAATAAATACTATTTCTGAAATGCATTTCTTAAACTCTATAACTTTAATTTAACAAAAATATTAAGTGAAATAAATAAATTAATTTTTAATTATTGTGGATTTAGTGCACAAAAAATTAGGTATAATCTAAAAGCATATAAAATATATTGATTTTAAATTTATTTAGAAAATCGAGGCGATTCGGGGGTTGATTACAATCGAGTATTTTGAAATTTTCAATTATTTTCAACGTATATGCAATATTAATATTTAAAAAAACTGGCATTTAATTTTCAATCATAACACTCGTATTTCGTGTTGGATTTTTTAAATTTTAATTTAATTTAATTTTTCATCATTTACAATATCCAAAATTGCGTCGTAAACTTATATTCAGAGTATCAGCTTGTTGTTTTAAAGTTAAATTTTTAACGTATTTTAGAAGTATTGTTCAAAAGTCAGTAAAAAATGCAGAGAAATTACACATTTCTTGAACAATATTGAAAAAAAAACTTATTATATTTGATATGTATTATTTCTGTATAGTTAATAATTATTAAATTTAGAGTATGGACACGACTAGGTATAAAACAAGCCTTAAGATTTTCGTTCCAAAGTAAATTTTGCTTCCATTTTTCATATTTGTTCCACGCATGTCTTCAACATTCAAAGTTCAATAGATGCGAAACATTTGCAACAAAAGCAAAAGTTACAATTCAATTTCTCGGAATAAACAAGTCATTTTCTAAGCACTGACTCCCCATTTTTTATAATTTGTTTATATTTTTTAACAAATGTCGATTCAACTAAATCAGCTCGCAATTTTTCGTCAATAATGCCCAACAATTAATTTAATCTTTCGCAGGTTTGCGCTTATGGGATTGAACACTAGATAATTTCTTTTTCGATTCCACGGTAACTTCAAACAAAAAAAAAGTCAATAAGTAGATTAAGCAATAAACAGAGCTGTTATTTACTAATTTGCAGAATTATTAACCGGTTAATTGTTTCTACTGATATCACATTGCAAAATAAATAGTCTCCGTATCCCTAGTTAAGTTAAATTATTTATTATAATTTATTAAGTATTCTATATTTTACATAAATAATTCTAGATTTTATATAAAAAATATAAATATTATATTATAAATTTAATTTCCGAAACTCGTTTTGGCGCCCCCTAAGGCTTGCGCCTGCATTTTTTGCATGCAAGGCAGCACCGGCCCTATATATATATATATATATATATATATATATATATATATATATATATGTTAAATATAAAATATTATTTGAATAAATACTCTTTCAATCTGTTCCCAGTGCAGGTATCCGACTGGCCAGCCGGGGCAAAGTTTCTCTGTCAGGGATATACGTGCCCAGAATGTGGGGTCGTATCTCAGGTCGTAGCGCTTGTAGCCCCATTGGGTGCCCTGTTTGCGCATCACGCGGTGGAAATAGTCGACCAGCTCGCCCAGCTTATACCTCCGGGGGCTAAAAATATAAAGGACATTTTTAACTTTCCAAATGAGATTAAAACGGCTTTTTAATGCATTTTAACGGCAGAATATAAATATTTAATCGAAACGAAAGTTTCAAGTTTTATTGTTATATACTTCAACATTCTTTTCAATTTTTTTCATTAAAATACATGTCGTAATATGCCGGGTACATCAAATAAATTAAAACAAATATATATTTTTAATAGTATAAATTCTAGTTGAATCCAAAAAATCTAGAAAAAATGACAAATTCGCCAATTTTTCGAACTTGAAAAAAATCGTGTTTTTATACAAAATTTCACTTTAGATTGGTAAAAATGTAGATTAATTATAACTTTTTTTGAAGGTTTTTTAGGTTCAACTAGAATAGAATTTAATCTTGAATACAATGAATTTTGTCTCGTTTCGATAGGACGTTCAGTTTTTTAACTTCCCAAAGGAGAAGTTTGTTTTCATAAAAAAATCCGATTCGCTAATTTTATGTTTTCTCGACGTTTCAAGCCATTCTGAATCGAATGAGACCAAATTTAAGGTAAAAGTATGTGTGTGTGTGTGTGCGTGTGCACCAACAGATTTTTTGCCGTAAATCGACGTTTTCTCGAAAACGGCTGGACCAATTTTAAAAATTTAAAAGCCACTCGATGTATCTCGATGAGGTTTGTCTATTGTTTGTCAGTTTTGTGCGACGATCGGCCATGCCGTTTCTTCGTAAATAGCAGAAAAGTGAAAAGTTTTTCGTCCACGTTTTAGCCCGCAATTCTGAATCGATTTTGAAAAATCAAAAACTTCCGGAAAATATTGTTTGGGAATAATACTGATTATTTTTAGGTAAAAATTTACCGAGCCGTTTTCTTGAAATTATCTGTTGAAAAAAGCCGATTTTTATGAA